TGTCTAGACACGAGTAGGTGAGCATGAAGGGGAAGGAGAAAGGAAAGATAAACAGGGAAATGGGGAGTGGAAATGTAGTAGTAATAGTAGTAGTGGAAATAGTGGTGCTGGTGGGAGTAACATTATTAGTAGTAGAAAAAGATTGTCGCAATACACTGGCCAGAACAATTCACAACTATCTTATATTTGGAGAGGAAAATTTACAGGACGTTTCGGTCCGTCATCGACTACTGAGAAATCATTATCGACGGTCTGTGCATAACTATTATCAAGTTAAAAACGGTTCCGAATGGATCGAAAGGTCGTCTGAAGTTTCCTGTTCAAACTACAGTTTAGCTGCCAGTAACACTGTGTGAATAGTTCTATTAGTATTAGCAATAGTTGTAAGGAGTGTGAAGGAAAAAAGAATAAGTAGATCACGAGGCGGAGGAAGAATTGGAGAGGGAGAGGAAGAATGAAGGGGTGAAGGTGTAATGAAGGTAGATCAAAGGGAGAATGAAGAGGTGAAGGTGTAATGAAGGTAGATCACAGGGAGAATGAGGAGGAGGCGTAGGTGGCAATGGCAGCGGCGGCGGCGGCGGTGGAGGAGAAGGAAGACTGGGGATATGGGGGAGTGGGAGCAATTTTATTAGTGCCCCCCTGAATGTAAAAATGTCTTCGCGTGGCGTCACGGGTGCCATAAATCAAGAGGAGAGCGAGTGCGTGATTCTGGCGAGGCGGGCGTTATCAGCCTCCAGCTCATTTTTACCCTGCTGCTGGGCCACTGTGATAAGCCCCGCCAGCCTCCGTTATGGCTCCACATCCTCCCAGCTATAATTTGCTCATCCCATCTGAGCTGCCGGGGGAGGGGGAGGAGAGGGGATGTGCCCCTCGAAAGCGGAGAGGGATGGGTGGAGGGGGTAGGGTGGAGGAGAGAAATGGGATTGTGGCGTCGAAGGTAGGGGCGAAGGGAGAGGAAGGGGAAATCTCTGAAGGTAGGAGAAACAGAGAGTGTGCCCTTTCGAGTGGGGAGGCAAGGTGGAGGGTGGGGAGGAAGGGGAGAGGGAGAGAAGTAATAGAGGTGGGTGGTAAGACGTGGGGAGGAAGAGGGGGGAGGACGGTCAGCAACTTGCGTGAGAAGGAATAAATTGCTCAGCGATGATCTGGTGCTACCTCATGAGAGAGAGAGAGAGAGAGAGAGAGAGAGAGCTACCTCGTAGGATCTCTACATCTCTTTGGGTCTAATAGAGTTCCTTGGGTCTCTGAAATTCTTCACTCTCTCTTGGGTCTCGCATCAGATCTCACAACACCTCACTGTGTCTCACAACGCCGCTATGCAATCTCACAATGTGGCATCAGATGCCGCAAACGCGGCATCAGAGCTCACACCAGATGTCACAACGTGGCATAAAATCGCACAACGTGTCATACCATCATACAACGCGGCATCAGGTCATGAAAACCCCGTCCAGGCGATTGAAATAGGCTGCCCACGTTATTGATAGAGCACCGTCCCATGAATATTATTGAGGGGATGAGTGGTTTGTGTACACCGAGCTGACGGCTCTCTGTTTCTTTTTTGCTCTCATCTCCTGGTGACATGTGTTTGAGATTAGTGGTCTGCCGCTGTCAATTTACACCAAGCGGCCATGTCGGTTCCCTCCCGGATTAGAATCAAGCAGAATGGTGCCAATGCTTTCTGACGGGTTATCAAGTGGGATTCAAACCACTTTACATCTCACATTTTTTTTACCCTAGATTAATAGCAGGTCTGACACACGACTGGCCACCTTTACAAAGCCAGAAAATGACTTGAAACGTGTTAAACAAAACAAATGAGAAAAGAAGTGGGCTGCAGCAAAACTGGTCATCAAGGGAGATTTGATCCGATTTTGCGTTCCCTCATTTGTCACAATGTCACTCTGAATGTAGGATTTGTATAACCAGGAAATGGACTATAAAAAGATTTTGTGAAGTTATTATTCGTTTACTAAACACACACGAAACGCTAAATCTTGTAGTTCATTCACCAGTTGTGGAGGCTCGATCCTTTATCTGCTAATCACAAGACAGCGTGACTTACTATACTATCCGATGCTATCATTTTTTTCTCCATGCGACTCTGAAGCTCCAACTTAGGTGATTATAAGGCCGCAGACGGATGTGCAACAATAAAACTTCTTTAAAATCAAGTAAATTCTTGGTGAGCATTAATAACACGGCTTTCCAGATACTCTTCAAGTGGATTTCGCGTCTGCTGACTGGTGTGTGTTATTTTCACGACAGATCTAGCATAATTTTTTTTTGTGTATGCATATATATATATATATATATATATATATATATATATATATATATATATATATATATATATATATATATATATATATATATATATATATGCAAAAACACTCTAAAATAAAAATTCAATTTCTATACTCATTATATATTTGACAAACCTGAATTCTCTACTTAATTTGTTATATCATGAAATCATTTAGTGATATATTATATATATATATATATATATATATATATATATATATAATATATATAACTGCTATATTATGAATAATGTTAGCATATTTGTAGCTATACTCCATAGTTATATGGTCCAGTTGTGAAATATATAGCATCGTTCTTATTCAAGTATAGTAGTTCGATTCCTTCACCAAGATCATTATTATATATTATCGCTTCTTGAATATATTGATTGTTATAAATCTATATAAGCTGATGCATATAGGATAATAAAACTGGAACTTTCCTGAAAGCTGGCTGCCTTGGATCTGTCTAGATGGCGCCAAGGTATTGGTCCAGTGTGGTGAGAATGGTATAGCACTGCGTTCCTTGTTCCAAGGTTCGTAGGTTCGAGTCTCCTCCCGATGATCATGTTGTGCTATATTTCGCACTGCTCTGCGAAATCCATCACTTTTCAAATCTCTTCAATTTGATTCAATTGTGGATGAGGTGAAAACTGAAGCCCTTCCTCCCTGAAAGCTGGCTGCCTTGGATTGTGCTAGGCGCCAAGGTATTGGTCCAGTGTGGTGAGAATGGTATAGCACTGCGTACCTTGTTCCAAGGTTCGTAGGTTCGAGTCTCCATCCGCTGATACGTCAACTCCCAAATATCTGAAAACATTCACTTCTTCCACACTCCTCTTCCCCAATTTGATATCCAATTTTTCTTTATCTAAATCATTTGATACCCTCATCACCTTACTCTTTTCTATGTTCACTTTCAACTTTCTACCTTTACACACACTCCCTAATTCGCTGGCTTAAACCAATGCCTTAACCTAGTCAGGTCAGGTCACATTCACTTAAGGAAGGAGCACGGTATCTGACCTAGTAGCAGAAGGTAGTCATGTTCAACTCACACCCACCCACACCCACTCATGCATTTATCTAAACTATCTTTGAAACTACACAACGTTTTAGCCTCTATAGCTGTACTCGGGAGCTTGTTCCACTCATCCACAACTCTATTACCAAACCAGTGCTTTCCTGTATCCTTCCTGAATCTGAATTTTTCCAACTTAAAGCCATTGCTGTGAGTCCTGTCTTGGCTAGATATTTTTAGCACGCTATTTACATCCCCTTTATTTATTCGTCTTCCATTTATATACCTCAATCACATCCCCCCTAACTCTACGCCTTTCTACAGAGTGCAGATTCAGGCCCTCAGTCTATCCTCATAGGGAAGATTTCTGATACATGGGATCAACTTTGTCATCCTCCTTTGTACGTTTTCCAGAGCATTTATATCCATTCATACGGTGACCAAAACTGTGCAGCATGATCTAGATGAGGCCTAACCAAGGATATATAGAGTTGAAGAACAACCTGAGGACTCCTGTTATTTATGCTTCTTGGCATGAAGTCAAGGATTCTGTTCGCTTTATTGCGAACACTTATGCACTGTTGTGTTGATTTTAGATTACTGCTAACCAGAACTCCCAAATCCTTTTCGCAGTCACTAATATTAAGATCTCCATTATTTAGTTTATATGTGGCATGGTTATTTTCCTGTCCAATGTTTAGAACTTTGCATTTGTCTATATTAAACTGCATCTGCCACTTCTCCGACCACTGCATTAGTCTATTCAAATCTTCCTGGAGTGCTCTAATGCCCTCGTTAGAATGAATTCGACGGCCTATTTTGGTGTCATCGGCAAACTTGCTAACGTCGCTATTTATTCCCTCAACTATGTCGATTATGTAGATTGTGAACAACAAGGGGCCCAACACTGACCTCTGTGGAACACCGCTCGTGACACTTCACATTCTGATTTCTCCCCATTTATGCAAACTCTCTGCTGCCTATTTATCAACCATGCCTCTGTCCAGGAAAAAATTTCTCCTATTCCGTGTGCCTTAATTTTCCTTAATAATCCTTGATGTGGGACTCTATCAAAAGCCTTACTGAAGTCCATATACACAATATCATATTCATTACCATGATCTACCTCCTCAAATACCTTAGTGAAAAAAGTTAATAAATTCATAAGGTAGGAACGCCCTTTTGTAAAACCGTGCTGAGATTCGTTGATTAATTTATGCTTTTCAAGATGGCTACGAATTGCCTCGGCAATTATTGATTCCATAAATTTTCCCACTATGCAGGTTAGGCTTATTGGCCTATAGTTCGAAGCTAAGGACCTGTCACCTGCCTTGTAAATAGGTATCACATTTGCCATTTTCCACTTATCTGGCACCATGAAAAGATTAGCCAAAGGTTTGCTAAGCTTATCTTTACATTCCTTTAGAACCCTTGCATACAGTTCATCAGGGCCTGGGGATTTATTATTATTTATTATTATTATTATTATTATTATTATTATTATTATTATTATTATTATTGTTGTTGTAAATATTTTATTACCAAAATTAATATTTATACTATTTTTTTGGCAGCTTAAATACGATATTACATTTTTTTATAAGCTAGAACTGCAGTTATTATTTTGTGCACAAACGTCTAATCAAAATGACTAACGCACCTCTCCCTCCTGCCGACAGGTCCCCGCTCCCGACGAATCAAACGAAGAGATCGTAACCCGGAGGAGAAGCGTCCCCGCACCGCCTTCACCTCCGAGCAACTGGCAAAGCTCAAGAAGGAGTTCGAAGAAAATAAGTACCTTACGGAGAAGCGACGGCAAGACCTGGCCAGAGAACTCGGCCTCAATGAATCTCAGATCAAGATTTGGTTCCAGAACAAGCGAGCGAAGATCAAGAAGGCAAGTGGGCAGAAGACGGGGCTGGCCGTCCATCTGATGGCTCAAGGACTTTATAATCATTCCACCGTACCTGTCGAGGAGGATGATCCCTACCTCTGCTAGAGACCTCTCGTGCCATTAAAGGTTGAAATCTTGCGCTGGTGAGCGCTCATGCAAGGATGGCCATGTAACTGCGGCTTAAGGGCTCCTTTGTCGGGGGCCAGTAGCAGTTAGTTTTGTAAGAAATTAAGTGGCAGAGTTCTTGCGCGAGATCGCCCAGTGTTGCAGAGATCAAGGTGCGCTCGGCCCGAACAGTGCTTTGTCATGAGGTTGTGTGGATGCACATGTCTTCCCACGACGTCTTCAGAACCCCTTGCTCGCCCACACACAAGAGATGTCAACATATGGTGTAGCCGACGTGAGGCATGGTAGCAGCACACTGTGGGCGTCACACGTGACATGAGCTATAAAAGGTTGTGTTGGGGCCTCAGCACCCCAGCTTCCCTGATCCCTCGCAGCTCACTATTGGGGTCCTCGTAGCATCACATTACTGACAACAGTGTCTACTCCAAGAGTCCTACAACTCTGAAAGATTCCCCAATCTTCTTTATTATCACACTTTTATATTTACCTGAGTTATTATTTGTGATAAACCTTTCTCCTAAGCTCGCTTCTCACAAAAGTCTTCTAGAACCCCTAAATAATAAATCTCTTAATATAGTAAAAGTATTCTTACAAATATCCTCGCGAAACCTAATTTAAAGTGTCAGAAGGTGCTTCCTAACACTCCCATTCACATTCCTAATTCGATGAATCAACATATCAAGAGCAACACTTCATTCCCAGCCTTAAGGGCACCTCCCTTCTGACATACATAACACCTGGAGCGTGGCTGTCTGAGGAACATCTCGTTCGCAAGGGACCAGTCTTTCCCTGAAGACGACCTTCTTATCAATATGACCCTGAAGGATAGTACCCAGGGCCTGTCCTTCTCTGAAGAGGACCTCATTTACACTAATGCCATTAAAGATAGCACCCTGAGCCTGGGCGTTTAAACTACGATCTTCAGGGACAGTATATCTAGCTCGGTCCTCTCATGGCGAGTACTTCACACTATCACCCTCAAGGACAGCTACCAGGGCCTGACTCCTGAGAAACACCACCTACTTCCCTCCTGAACCCCCCCTGGTGATCCCCTCATTCCACTCTGGCATACCCTTCAGCGCGCAAGAAAACGTCAGTTGCAACAATTGGACTGACTTGTGTTTAAAGTAGCTGAACTTCTTCTGAAGAGTACAAATTAGATTTTAATTTACTATGACAGTAATAAGTCTCAGATACTACCATTCTATGTTCCGTTCATTTACCTCGTTCACATATATTTTGTACAACTTTAAGGATATGAAGTCCTCATCAAGTCACTTGTATATATTGTATATTTATCAGATGTTTATATGTTGTAAATACCCGTTTAAATTATTTATATGTATGTGTTGTCGAATAAACAATCTTTTCTCTATCATTTCATTTTTAATACAAAGCCTTTCTGTTGAAAATTCTAAGAAAATTTATCACATTCAGGAATATAAGTAAATGGTTTTTTAATATCAGCATTCCTAAACTGTGCAAATAAATTGTGTATATACTATACAAAGATGTATTTCCTAGTGTATATATGTACACTAAGAGGTGAGTATCTATGTATATTTCAAGAGGTGAATAAAAAGGCACAATATCGTGGCCGGAACTATACACAAATAACCCGTCACTAGGAGACTGAAACTTATGACGACGTTTCGGACTGACTTGGACCATTTAATCACTAGCTTCTAGTAACCGTTCTAAGTCGGACCGAAACGTCGTCATAAGTTTCAGTCTCCTACATGCATTTATTTTTGTAATAGAATATTTTTTTTTATATACACCGAGAAATATACATGTCTTTGTGCATATACACAGATAGATATCTCAGTATTTAGAATGATCTGTGGGTATCTCTGTGCATTAAACGTTGCGAAGCGAGTATCTCTGCCTTTTCTGTATAGTATACACCCCAAAAGGTGTATCTCTCTCATAGTCTATACACCGTAAGTTGAAAATATACTATACATGCACCCAGAGGCGAGTATTCACACTATCAATGTCTTGCCAGATACGCGTAGATACGACAGTTTAGATGTCCCTCTGAGCAGCAGATATCCCAAACCCCTCCTTTAGAGTACAGGGACTACTTCTCACCTCCAGGACTCAAGCCCGGCTAACAGGTTTCCTTGAATCCCTTCATAAAATATTATCTTGCTCACACTCCAACTACTCAAGTCCCAAAAACTATTTGTCTCCACTCACTCCTATCTAACAAGCTCACACATGCCTGCTGTTTCTCCAAGCCTCCTTGCACACAAAACCTCTTTTACTCCCTCCCTCCATCCCTTCCTACGACTAGCCCTACCCCTACCTCCATCTTCTCTAAATGACCAAACCATCTCAAGGACTTCCCTCATCAGTCCTCTGGACAATATCTTTAGGAACTCCACACCTCCTAATCTCCAAACCACGAAATCTCAGAATAATATCTAAGCCACATATTAATAATAATAATAATAACAATTAATAATAATTATTATTAAATTAGTGAGGAAGTGCTAAACCCGTAGGTGCCACACAGTTCCTAGGGAAAGTGAGGTTATCATATCCAGACCAAGAAAGAAGGTAGCTTTAATTCTTTGGATCAAGAGCCCTTCGCCAGCATCAAAAACCCTCTTCAAGGGATCGTGGACTTAAACTGAATAAATCTGGTTTGGTAAAGACATCTTTGCTTATGCATATTTTTGTAACATAATAAAATCTCCAGGCCTGGCCTGGTGTAGGACCGTGCAGGGGAAGGGGGCGGAGACCCCTGCAACAGGGGAAGGGAGCGGAGACCCCTGCAACAGGGGAAGGGAGCGGAGACCCCTGCAACAGGGGAAGGGAGCGGAGACCCCTGCAACAGGGGAAGGGAGGGGAGCCCTGCACAGGGGAGGGAGCGGGGACCCCTGCAACAGGGGAAGGGAGCGGAGACCCCTGCAACAGGGGAAGGGAGCGGAGACCCCTGCAACAGGGGAAGGGAGCGGAGACCCCTGCAACAGGGGAAGGGAGCGGAGACCCCTGCAACAGGGGAAAGGAGCGGGGACCCCTGCAACAGGGGAAGGGAGCGGAGACCCCTGCAACAGGGGAAGGGAGCGGAGACCCCTGCAACAGGGGAAGGGAGCGGAGACCCCTGCAACAGGGGAAGGGAGCGGAGACCCCTGCAACAGGGGAAGGGAGCGGAGACCCCTGCAACAGGGGAAGAGGTGAAGACCCCTGCAACACGGGAAGGGGGAGACCCCTGCAAAAGAAGGGGCGGAGACCCCTGCAATTAACTACACGTAGTCCTAATTCTCTCCTGAAATTCCCTATTGACTGAATGTGAATGTTTTTTATTGAATATATTTCAAAATGAGGCTGGTAACCACATGCAGAGAAACACGACTGATAGAAAGTTTGTATATCTCGACCTCAAACTGAGGTCCTCTTCAGCAGGTGGAAGTTGAAATATATTATTTATTATTATTATTTGTCAGCATGCAAGTGGTGGTTTTTGGTGGCGGTGGGTGGTGGTGGTGGGTGTGGTGTGGTGGTGGTGTGGTGGTGTAGTGGTGGTGGTAGGTGTGGTGGGGTGGTGGTGGTAAGTAGGTGGTGGTTGGAGAGGTGGTGGTGGTGGTGGTGGTGGTAGAGGTGGTGGTGGTGGTAGAGGTGTGGTGAGTGTGGTGTGGTGGTGGTGACAGTGGTGGTGGTGATAGTGGTGGTGGTGGTAGTGGTGGTGGCGACAGTGGTGGTAGTGGTGGTGGTGGTAGTAGTGAGTGGTGATAGTGGTGGTGGTGGTGAAAGTGGTGGTGGTGAGTGGTGGTAGTGGTGATGGTGGTGGTGGTTGTTTGCAATGGTGGGGGGGTGGCGGTGTGGTGGTGTTGTAGAGTGGTGGTGGTAGTGGTAGTAGTGATGGCGGTAGTGGTGGTGGTGTTGTGGTGGTGGTGGTAATGGTGGTGGTAGTGGTTGTGGTGGTGGTAGTGATGGTAGTGATAGTGGTGGTAGTGGTGGTGGTAGTGGTAGTAGTGGGAGTGGTGGTAGTGGTGGTTGTGGTAGTGGTGGGTGGTAGTGGTGGTGTGTGGTAGTGGTGGTAGTGGTGGTGGTAGTGGTGTGGTGGTAGTGGTGGTAGTGGAGTGGTAGTGGTGGGTGGTAGTGGTAGTGGTGGTAGTGTGGTAGGTGAGTGGTGGTGTGGTGGTAGTGGTGTAGTGGTGTGTGGTAGTGGTGGTGTGTGGTAGTGTGGTAGTGTAGTGGGGGTAGTGGTTAGTGGTGGGTAGTGGTAGTGGTGGTAGTGGTGGTGGTAGTGGTGGTAGTGTGGTGGTAGTGGTGGTAGTGGTGGGTAGTGGTAGTGGTGGTAGGTGTAGTGGTAGTGGTGGTAGTGGTAGTAGTGGTGGTAGTGGTGGTGTGTGTAGTGGTGTAGTGAGTGGTAGTGGTGGTAGTGGTGGTGTGGTAGTGTGGTAGTGGTGTAGTGGTAGTGGTGGTAGTGGTAGGTGTAGTGGTAGTGGTGGTAGTGGTAGTGGTAGTGGTGGTATGTGGTAGTGGGTGGTAGTGGTAGTGGTGGTAGTGGTAGTGGTGGTAGCGGTGGTAGTGGTGGTAGTGGTAGTGGTAGTGGTAGTGGTGGTAGTGGTGGTGGTGGGCCTCAACATCACGCAGAGTCCAGACTTGAATTTCACAAAATAGCTGCTGTCATAATTAACGCTTGGCTCTTGATAATGAGATTGGAATATTCAGCTGAGTGGGAATTACACCCAATTAATGTTTGCCAATTTGCATTTTGGCATTTTTTGTATATAATTAGCTACAAAATTTGCTGAAATTTTTTAATATTGCCAATAAGTTATACATTATTAAAAAAAGTAAAGATTTAGTGCTTTTCCTGTCAGGAATTTTAACACGCCAGCCCACTAAGGCAGGTGACACGAAGAAAACACTATTACCATCACTCGTTCCTTAGCTGTCTTTTCAGGAGGGAATAATGCAAGTGTAGTTCCAGATGGTTAGTGTTATTATTGTCTTTATTAATATAATAATAATAATAATAATAATAATAATAATATAATAATATTATTATTATTATTATTATTATTATTATTATTATTATTACATTCAAGGTTGTCAGACAGTGCTTGGGAAATGGGATAATCAGGAATGAAGAGGCAAAGAAGAGAAATATTTCAACCTGTCTTCTCAAAGTGGCATCGTACTTCCACCTTCAAAAGTCTTAAAGTTTGGCTAACCGGCTTTCCTGAATAAATTCAAGATATTATTACGCTCACACTCTCATTGAATGACCACTATTTATCTGCTTATTTAACTATTTATGTGAAGCTCTAAAGCGTGTGGATCATTCAGTACAAGGAGCAGCGGAGGCTCCATAATTTCGTGATATCCAAAGTGATTTTTGCCTAGTTAATGCAACAGTGAATTTGCACTCGCTTGATTGGTAAAATGATCATTGTTTTGTAAGCCAAGATCACAAGTTCTGCCGAATCACTGGAAAGATATGATATGCTGCAGGCTATAACGTCCGACAAGGAGGTTGTCCATTTCGCAAACGTGAGTGCCCATCACTTTGGAGATTTATTTTAAACACTTCACATTTCTGCAGTGGCATAATTCTCTACCCAGATCCCCTTCACAGTCACACTGCTACTCTCAGTCACAATACCTACCAGTGCAATTGCGACATGTGGAAGGTGACCAATACTGTCTACACGGGCTAAATTGTGCAAGTTCCTAGAGTTAGCATATAAGGCACAATGAAGCCAACAATATCAGCTGGTCACTCGCTACACATGAGTGACCAATATATATAAATATATATATATATATATATATATAAATATTATATATTAATATAATATATTATATATTTATAATATTATATATTTATATATATATATAATATATATTATATATATATATTATATATATATAGATATTATTAAGGGTGAAAAACTGTAGTGTAAAGCACCCTTCTGGCAAGACAGTGATGGAGTGAATGATGATGAAAGTTTTTCTTTTTCGGGCCACCCTGCCTTGGTGGGAATCAGCCGGTGTGATAATAAAAAAAAAAATATATATATAATATTAGTTATTAATTAAAAATAGGATACAGAAAATTCTTAAAAAGCAACTTCAATTACCGGTCACCACAAAGGATGACTTGTTATAAAGGGATTGTTAGCACTGGTGTTGTGGTGTGGTGCGCCGGGCGGACCATCGCCAGACTTACCACTAATACCTTCTTTTTCATCTATGTTCTTGTGGTACCCAGACCTGACGTGCAGTTTGGCTTAGTAATTACCGCCGGAGATCTTTGGTTAAGGGATTGAAATGTGGACCTTGACAAATCACGTAATATCAGCCTTCCTCACACGCACCCCCCTCCCTACCTGCATCAATCCGTTATGCCCATTCC